GGAGGAGTGGAAGCGCATCTGGAGGTTCGGGGAGGTGCCCAAGGTCGCTCCCAGGATGCTCAATGAGATGCCCCTCGAGGACCCGAAGCCGCCTGTTGCGCCAGATGAAATCAGGTCCGTCTTGGGGAAGCCCAAGAAGCGCACTGCTGTGGGAGTCTGTAATTGGGCCCCGCACGCGCTGAAGCAGCGCTGTACCTCTGGCCTGCTTGCCCTCAGTGTCTCGGTGTATTTGCGGGACACGTGCCCCCAGCTGCCCGAGCAGATTGCGCTGCTCATTTTGCCGTTTTTGCAGAAGCCTGAAGGGGGGAGGAGGCCCGTTGGGATCATATCCGCCCCTGTGCGACTCTACAGTCGGCTTCGGCATGAGGAGGCGGAAAGGTGGGAGGACAAGCGCGCACGCACGTGCACGTACGGGGGAAAGGGTAAGAGTTGCGTTGTTGAGCGAGGCCGCTCGAGCCAGCAATTTGTTCAGTGGATGCACGCTGATTGATATGGAGAAGGCGTGCGAACGCATCACGCGCGAACAATTGATAAGGGCATGCAACAAGCACGGGTTCAGTTTGAGGAGGTTAAGGTTTCTCCTGTTGGCTTACTCGGGGAAGCGGGTCATTAAAGTAGGAGAGGCGGTGTCTTTGCCCTTTGAGCTGAACGCCGCCATAGTGGCAGGCTGCTCGTATGCGACGACGCTGCTGAAAGTAGTGATGTTAGATGTTTTCGACGCTGCGGCCAAGAAGTGGCCGAGGATCGGCATTTCTTTGATGGTGGGCGACACTAGTCTCCAGGCAGTGGGTGATCAGAAGCATGTTCGGACTCAGCTAGTTAGGTGCACTCTGTTTGTTTGCAGGTCCCTGGAGAAGCTCGAGATGAAGGTTTCGAGACGTAAATCGATCCTGGTGGCCTCGGACCCGAAACTTGGAAAGCAGCTGGCATGGGCGCTTCGGGAATTTGGGTTCAAGCATGTTCAGGCGACCAAAAACCTCGGGGTCGATTTCAAGCTGAGGACTGGAAAGGGTAGAAACGTCACAGAAAAAAAAACTGAAGACGACCAGGGGCAAGGTGCGAAACTTCAGGGCTTTCAGATTCTCTCGGAAGCCGCTTCAGAATGTGTACCGAGGAGGCCCCACGCTGGCGGTCATGCATGGTGTTTCGGTCGTCGGTCTCGGCGACGCGCAGTTGGAGCAGCAGCGCGCCTCGACAGGGGCGGCTATTTTCGGGCCAGACAAGGGCCGCAGCCGCAGCTTGCAGTTCCTTTTGGCTGAGGTCGAGAAGCGCGACCCGATGTTCGCAGCAAATTCTTTGCCTCTGCAGATGTGGGTCAGAGCAGTATTTGATTCGTGGGCCACGAATGCCCAGATGAAGCACGCCTTCGACTACGCGGTCAAGGCTAGGTCTCAAGGGTGGAGGGCGGTCCTAGGCCCAGCAGGAGCGGTAGTGCTCACCCTTCGAAGGCTCGAGTGGGAAGCTGTCTCCTGGGACGTTTGGGTCAACACTGACGGGGTGACCATCAACATCAAAGAAGTAGGGCCTAGGACTGTGCAAACCCTAGCGGATGAAGCGACTAGACGGCTGCTACGTATACGTGCGGGAGCTCATTACAATGCCTCTTGGCAGCCATATGTGGAGCCTCTGCGTGATGAACTTGCTAGGTTGAGAGGTGCTGGAGATTTTCTTGGGGCCAGTCTGCTTATCGCTCAGGTTTCTGGAGGTCTCTGGACTCAGGCTGATGTGTTCAGGAAGAGATACGTGATTGATGATCGGTGCCAGTGGTGCCTCCAGGTGAAGGGTTCGGTTTTTCACCGATTATGGGGCTGTGATGGCTCCAAGCTGATCAAGGGACCATGACCATAGTGGAATGGGGGCCGCAGCCGTGGCCCTGACTCAGCCTGATATCATGTTCACGAGAGCTCTGGTGGACTCCAAGAGGACCGAATTCCCCAAGATCCTCCAAGGTGCCGAGTATAGGTGGGCTGTGAAGCCCGTGAGTGGAGTGTTAGGCGACACTGTCTGCATCGACGGCTCCGCCTACGACGGAGATATTCGCTGGCTTTTGCGTGCTGGATGGGCGGTCGTCTCCATCAGCCCGAGTATGCAGGTGGACGCAGTGGCCTACGGGCCTTCCCCATCCCAGTGCAAGACGTGCCGACCAGTGAGCTCTACGCCCTCTACATGGCGCTGTGCCTCATGGGGCCCAGTATCCACATCATAACGGATTGTAAAATGGTCTACGACGGGGGGAACATGGGAAGGGAGGGGACGGACAAATCCAACAAGTGCTACGCGGAGCTCTGGCGCCTCATCTGGATGAGGATCGAGGACGTCGGAGCAAATTCGGTGAACGTGTGCTGGATGCCTTCGCATATGTCGGAGGCGGCGGCGCAACGAAGGGGCTATGAGCCTCATCGGTTCAGAGGCAACCAGGAGGCGGACTCCTGGGCCAAGACAGGTGCCAAGGCGCATCCAGCAAATCATCACCTTCAGGATCGTCTGCGGCATCATCATGATCAGGTTACGCTCATCTCCAGATATATGGTGGCAGTTCTCAAGCATGTCCATCAACTGGGTTATCCTGATGTATCATCATACTCTGAGCGTGCCAAAAGAGAGCCTAGGAATTCGGAGGCCCCGATTCTCGAGATAGTCCCAGATGATAAGGGTCACGTTGTCTCGCAGGCTCCTGGCGGTGGGTGGGGATGCGGTGTCTGTGGTTTGGCGCGGGCGATTCGCTCTCGGCTGGTGCAGCTGCCGTGTCCTGGGCGTCCGAGGATTGTGTCCCAGGCCCACCCCACCCATCGTCTCTGGCAGAATGGAGGGCTGACCTGGTGCGTGCGCTGTGGAGCGTATGCACGTTTGAAGGTCAAGGAGTTGTGCAAAGAGTGCTCGGGGAACCCCGACACTGAGTGGAAACGGAAAGCCCTGGGGACTTTGAAGCAGGGGAAGGATCCCTCGAACTCTAAACTGGAGGCGGTTATCCCTGTCCCACTCAGGCGCTGAGTTTCCGTTTCATGTAAAAGGCGGGCGTCTTGTGTTATCGGGACGACCGCTGAGGAGCGCAAGAGCGCAAGAGGAGGAGGAGGAGGAGGAGGAGGAGAAGGGAAAGGGAAAGGAGGAGGAGGAGGGAGGAGGAGGGAGGAGGGGGAAGGGGAGGAAGAGGAGGAGGAGGTGCGGGGGGGGATAACAAGTGGCCCCTGGAAACCAACGAGATGCCGATACCGCTGCTCCCGGTCCTCTCCTGGATCGCTGAGGCGAATCATGGGACGCACAGAGACACTATAGTACGATTCCACCATCAATGCCTGCACTGAAGGGGTCCTACCGGAAATTTAACATTTGGCGAACGTTTCCCGCCGATGTTGGTAGCAGGCTGGGTTCCCGGGTTCTCGGTTCCGGGTTCCCGATTTCCTGGTTGTTGGTTCCGGCCCGATTTCGGTGGGTTCTGGGTTCCTGGGCTCCCCGATCTCCTTCCTCAGCGAAAACCATCCACTGATTGGGTTTTTGTTCTCTGGTATAATATGTCCTCCTTGGAGGCGCGCGTCCGATCCGAACATCTAGTATACCCATCTTGTAGTATATCGTTTCCGGAGCGGTGTGGCCAGGAAGCGCCCGCCACGACGCACGTACTATGAGAATTCTCGGTGCGCGCGTCGCCCTGGGGGGGCAACGCACATATAGCATCAGTACCTATACGACCACCCTTCGGGTGATAAGGTTGTTGGGGGGGAAGAGGGGGGAACCAACATCTCACTCAATCGATTTCACTATCTCAATCAACGGGACACCACGGGACACTACGGGACACCACGGGACACCTGTCGATCTCACTATCGATCTCACTATCGGTCTCACTTTTTGGGACAGCACGGGACACCTCGGGGCACCACCTCGATCTCAGTATCGATCTCAATATCGATCTCACTATCGATCTCACTCAACGGGACAGCACGGAACACCACGGGACACCACGGGACACCGCGGGCCACCGCCAGACGGGCGGGAGGGGGAGAATCATTTGTCTTGACTTCGCCCTAGCAACGGGGGGCACCACGAGACACCACAGGACACCTCGGGACACCGCGGGACACCGCCGGACGGGCGGGAGGGGGAGAATCATTTGTCTTGTCTTCGCCCTAGCAACGGCGGGCACCACGGGACACCACGGGACACCACGGGACACCGCGGGACACCGCGGGCCACCGCCGGACGGGCGGGAGGGGGAGAATCATTCGTCTTGACTTCGCCCAAGTAACGGCGGGTTCATTCCTCTCGCGCGCCAACGCAGCTTCGCCTCGCCCGCACGCACGAAACAAACGAAACGAAACGATTTCCCGGTTGGGGGTCCCCGTTCCACTGCGATCTCATCCCCCAAACTCCGATGTTGGACTGACGCCGAAATCACGCCTTGGCGACGGGGGCCTCCCAGGAGGCCTCAGAAGGTGAGAACAACGGAGCTATGGAAACCAAAAGGTCCCATACTGCTACTTCCTCGGCCTCTCCTGGATCGCGTTCTGACCAGGATGTCGAGGCGAATCCAGCCGTGGCGACGAGGGCCTCCCAAGAGGTCCCAGAAGGCGAGAACGAGGGGACCGCAGAGGTATCTGTACCTGTCCCTCTTCGGTGGCCGCTCATGGGTGCCTTCCATACCATCTTGTTGGCTCTTGCGAATCGACGCTGCTCAGCAGTCGCCGACGCTAAATCGACGCTAATCGACGCAAAGTCGACACTGGCTACCCGACGCTGATCGACTCGACGCTAACTCGTAAAGACGTTCCGAGGACACATAAGGCCCCCATGATTTGCTAGCTGCAGTCGGACCGACGACAGAAGAACCCGTGTTCAAGAACATGAGACCCTCCGCTGGCCAGAACGCCCAGAACATTCAAGGGTACCCTCCCCAGGGTGCACATCACATCCCCAGGGCACCCTCCCCGAACCAACCTCGATCTTACACCTTACACATCGGCCCGACTGTACCAAATCCCGCCTCTGTGAGGGCCGAGGGCGTCCTGAGCAGCAACTTCACCATCTCGGTGCCGCCCGACAGGTCGCCCGCGGCGAGCGACCGCACGGCCAGGAAGCCCCGGAGCTTGGCGCAGGAGGCCCTGACGTACTCCTGCGGGGGGCGTGGGGGACGAACGAACGAACGGAGCTGCCGTCGCCGGGAAGCCGGCGTCCCTGCAAGGGGGGGAAGGCGCGCTTGTCGCGCGCGTGGCCTCTTACAAGGCCACTGGATGTGAATTGCGCCAAACATAACATGAAGCACGAAACGCTTGCACGAGAAGTCACGCGGTCAACGCCCAGCGAGCTGCGTGCGGGGGCCGGGGAGATGATATGCAGAAGGTCAGGAGGCAACTCCTGGGAGGTCTTCGTCAGGACTACTACTACTTCTACTACTACTACTACTGCTACTACTACTACTACTACTACTACTACTACTACTACTACGACTACTACGACTACTACTACGACTACGACTACGACTACTACTATTACTACTACTACGACTACTACTACTACTACTACTACTACTACTACTACTACTACTACTACTACTACTACTACTACTACGACTACAACTACTACTACCACTCCTACTACTACTACCACTACTACTACTACTACTACTACTACTACTACTACTACGACTACAACTACTACTACCACTACTACTACTACTACTACTACTAACTACCACTACTACGACTACTACTACTACTACTACGACTACTACTACTACTACTACTACTACTACTACTACTACTACTACTACGACCTACTACTACTACTACTACTACTACTACTACTACTACTACTACTACTACTACTACTACTACTACTACTACTACTACTAGTTAGGTCCTGGAGGGCCTTACTACTACTAGTACTACTACTACTGCTACTACTACTACCACCACCACGACCTCTACTACGAGTCTGACTACTACTACTACTACTACTACAACTACTACTGCTGCTGCTACTACTACTACCCTTACTATGTCTACTACTACTACGCCTACTACTACGCCTACTACTACCACGACGACTACTACTACGACTGCTACAAATTCAACTTCTACTACAACTACAACCACTACTACGACGACGACGACTACGACTACTACTACTACGACTACTACTACTACTACTACTACTACTACTACTATTACCACTACTACTATCACTACTACTGTTACTACTACTACTACTACTACTACGACTCCGAGTACGACTACGACTAGGCCTACAACTGAGACTACGACTACGACTGCTACTACTACTACGCCTGCTGCTACTACTACTACTACAAATACTACTATCATTATTACCACTACTACTACTACTACTACTACTACTACTACGACTACGACTACCACTACTACTACTACTACTACTACTACTACCACTACTACTACTACTACTACTACTACTACTACTACTACTACTACTACTACTACTACTACTACTAGTTAGGTCCTAGGATGTCCTACTACTACTACTACTACTACTACTACTACGACTACGACTACTACTACTACTACTACTACTACTACTACTACTACTACTCTACTACTACGTCTACGACCACTGTTGCTACTACTACCACCACCATCACCACCACAACCTCTACTACGAGTATGACTACTACTACTAATGCTACTGCTGCTACTACTACTACTCTTACTATGACTACTACTACTACTATTACTACTACTTCTACTACTACTGCTACTACTACTACTGCTACAAATTCGACTTCTACTACAACTACTACTACTACTACTAATACCACCACTACTACGACTACTACTACTACTACTACTGCTACTACTACTACAACTACTACTACTACTTCTACTACTCTCACCCCTACTACTATAACTACTTCTGTGAAAACCACTCGGACTTCGAGTACGACTACGACTACGCCTACGACTGAGACTACGCCTACGACTGCTACTACTACTACTACGCCTACTACTACGCCTACTACTACTACTACTACTACTACTAGTACTACTACTACTACTACTACTACTACTACTACTACTACGACTACTACTATTACTACTACCATTACTACTACCATTACTACTACTACGACTACTACTACTACTACTACTACTACTACTACTACTACTACTAACTACTACCACTACCACGACTCCTACTGCTACAACTCCTACTACTACTACTACTACTACTGCTGCACCTACTTCTACGCTACACGACTACGACTACTACGGCTACTACTGCTACCACTACTACTACTACTACTGCTACTACTACTACTACTACTACTCCTACTACTACGTCTACTACTACTACTACTACTACTACTACTACTACTAACGACTACTACTACTACTACTACTATTACTACTACTATTACTACTACTACTACTACTACTATTACTATTACGGCGACTACTACTACTACCCCTCCTCCTCCAACTACTACTACTACTACTACTACTACTACGACTCGTACTACAACAACTACTA